ACCTATTCTTCTTCAAGAATCTGATTACGTGTCCGATAAACTTCTTATTTCTGTTTCAGGATCTTTAAAATCCAACACAACGGTACCAGGTAAAATAAATAACTTAATAAAACATTCTTTACTTCTATCTCGCACAACCTTAAAGAAACACTATTACTACGCCTTTCAATCCACTAAATACCCATTTCGAATTCACTTTAGTTAGGGCCATGGGATCCAAAAATTCACGAACACTGTTCACACAACACAGAATAAGGGCAAATACAAAATTTCCAGATTTTTTCCCGATTTCCCCCCCTTTTCCGATTAAAGAACCGTAATTCGTCCATTAATATCACATGACATATCACATGATCTCTCATTTCCCTCACACAAAATAATGCGTAATCGGAACTGAGTACTGCTCACTATATTATTATCACTATATTATTACCAAAGTCCCAGGTAGTAACTTTATCGCCTCCAAAATGTCGCCAAACTACCAGTTACTATATTGTAAAGATCAGCCCACTTTTCATTAATTTCAATTTTTTTTCTCTTTCTCGTTTTTGTTTTAGCTACATGGTAATAGGGAAATTTTTGGTACCTATTTTCCTGAATGCATTTACAAAGTTCTATCCTAAAAAGGCAATTTTCATTGGAAAAGACTGGTTATATCTTAAGTAAAATGGTCACTCTATTTCTGTTAGGCCCAGTAGCGGCCGAGCGGTAAAGTCACTGAACACTGGCAGCTCGGTCCGAATTTCGAATCCCGCGAACAGACAGGCTGTATGGGTGTTTTCGTGGTTATCCGCATGTGTAACATGTATAAGAGCCAGTTTTCCTTAGAAAGTGTTCCACGAAGGTATCTCTCCCCTTAGGCAGATAGCCCTCTCGCTTTGCCGTAATTACATAAACCAAATCTAATTCTGTTAGGTGGCCGCAGGCCACGAGGTACGAATTCCCGTGCCAGAGCCCTATCCAGATTAATAAATATACAATGCCTAACCTGTAAATAGCATTCCGATGGTGTAAATAGAATTTTATATAAAAAAGTAATTCCAGTGTGGCGAGGAGTAGGGCGAATCACTCTACTTCCTGACAGGGAAGTAGAGTGATTTCATTAGTGAGAGGAGCGAAACGACTTTATACGGGAATGAATGTAGTGTGATGTGTTGAGCAAAGTAGTAATGAAATGTGAAAGTATTAGAAATCTAAAAGGATTGGGAAGAGCGAGACTTATTGTCGGCTAACTGTCCGTGTCGGCTAAGTGTTGTGTCGGCTAAGCGTCCTGTCGGCTAAGTGTCCGTGTCGGCTAAATGTCCTGTCGGCTAACTGGCCTTGTCGGCTAAATGTCTTGTCGGCTAACGGGTGTCGGTTAAGTGTCCCGTCGGCTGTCCGCGACCGATTCCAAATACCGACGTTTCTCTTTAGGGGAGCTTTTGAATTTGTGATTCGACTTTGGATCACCAAATTCTGCAAAATTTGGTGATTTGGTGATCCAAACTCGAATCACAAATTCAAAATAATAGTCTCAATAACTTTTATTTACGCATATCTGCTATATTACACTATATGATTCAAGATTAATTTTAAAGCAAATAATTCCCTATTCGAATCAAATTCTATTAAGAGAGGTCGAATAACCGACCGCTTTCTTCAAAATTTTTCGAATCCCCATGGCCACTGCCATAAGCGAAACTTTCGCTCATTTCTCTTTCGAGTTGTAACAGCCGTCACAAAATTCACCACTGGAAGCACTAACTGCACAGCTCCACTCGGAAAATTAATTGGCTGTGACGGGGCTTAATGTATTCTAGGAAAATCCTCTGAGGCCTTTCTGAAAGCCTTATATCACTTTCTGTGTAAAACCACTCCCAGGAAATTTTCAAGTATTTGCCAAATTTTATAAACTCTGAAACTATTACAGAGTTACAATGTTTTTTGGCAATGCTAAATTTCTATCGTCTTGTCATCTCAAACGCTGCCAAAATCCAAGATCTCTTGTATGAACTGCTAAAAACTCCAGAGAAAAATGAGAACCGGCCAGTTCCTTGGGACGATATTTTAAAGGGAGCTTTGAAGCATATAAACAGAACCTTAGGAATTCGGCAAATCTAGCTTACCATGTTCCTCATCAACAGTTATTTCTGACGGCGGATGCTTCTTACATTGCTATCTCTGCTTCATTGAATGTATTAAATGGTGAAGACTTGCAACCTCTAGCATTCTTTTCTCGTAAACTGAACTTTCTGAACAAAAATACACCACCTATGACAGACAGCAATCAATTCGTCGGTAAAACTACAACATAAATTGCACGGCAAGCATTTTACAATATACATGGACTATAAAGCTTTGAGTTCCCCTTTTTTTATAAAAGGTCAGATTCAGTTTCTCCTAGGCAACTTAAACACCTGGACTACTTATCACAATTTAGTACGGATTTAAGACATGCTACTGGATCAGATAATAATTTGGTTGACACTTTATCCCGAATGAATGAGATCCACCTAGCTTTAACAGATTTTTCCTCTATGGCTGAACAACATGCTAAAGATACCTAAATATCTGATCTACTTGCCAAGACTGATACATCACTTCAAATCCAGCTTTTGAAAATTATCCTAATTTCAAACTTTACTCTCAGGCTAGCACTGGAAAAGTTCGGCCATATGTTCCAGAGAAGTTAAGCTAATCCAATCTAGGTGTTAGAGCCTTCTATATTTATTAAAGAAGGATTTGTCTGGGCAAGGATATTAAAAGACATGTCAAATTGGGCCCGGTTTTGCATAGATTATTACAAGTTAAAAATTCATCTACACTCGAGTAGCTCTTTACAATCATTTTCTGTTGTGTTTCAAGGATTCAAGTACGTTCACCACAACATCGTGGAACCCTTCACTCCATCTAAGGGATATACATACCTGGTCGCCTTTGTAAATAATTTTTCTCGTTGACCAGAAGCAATACTTGTACAGGATATTACAGGTAAAACAGTCGATCGCACATTCGTTACACACTGGATCACAAGATTCGGAATCCCAAAAAATATAACCACAGACCAGGAAAAACAGTTCGAAACTTATTTGATTTCCTCGCTCAGCAAGGTTTTAAGAATTCGCCTCATTTGAACTTCCCCATATCACATATTTAACTATGGACTCGTTGATCTGACTCTTAAGTAAGTCTTAAAATGCCATCATAACAAACGCTGGACACAAACTTTACCGACTGTCCTTCTTGACCACCGCACAGCTTTCAAAGAGGTCTTCAGAGGTTCTCCTGCTGAGATGCTCTAAGGAACAACTTTGTCTTTACTAGGAAAATTCCTGTAGCCTCTAACCGCCTGCTATAGAAGGATTATGCAGTTTTCCTCCAGCATCTATGAAACATCACACAAGAAGTATCTCCAGCTTCTGCACATATTAAATTTTTTATGCCTTGCAGAGCCGGACCGTTAATGTCACACCTTAAGCAGCTTTCAGTCGATGTTATAGAAATTAGAATTGTCATAGCACAAAGCGTAGGAATTGCTAGTTTCCTTCACATCTGGAGAACAGTGCTTAAGCAGGAGGCAATCAGAGAAGATAAAGTTCAATGTATAGTAGACTCAGCGAAATTGCATTAATATGAACACATGCATGAATGTATTTTTGGCTCAAATCATCAACCGAATATTAGTGTTTACTTCACTGCGACTGGTTGGCTCTCATACAAGTTGGTGTAATGTTCAGCAGTTACGATATCTAGATAATACTCTCCGAGAAATAGCTATGGCTGGTTTCCAGATAACGAAAGTTCCAATTATGTTAGTTGAGCCAGCTATAACCATCGTCTGAACGCTCCTTTCAGACACTTTGCCTTCTCTTCCTCTGACAGTTTGCACACATAAATTAAGTGATCTTCCGCGCACTTAAGATAACGAGGGTGATTAAGATTATGAAAATTGAGGGGTCCCAAATATTTGCAATCCGAAGATGAGAGGTCGTTTTCCTCACTTGTATGAACGGATGCTTACTTACAGGGAGGGTACTATTTTGATGATGAAAATAAGCAGCTTTTCATCTTTTCGATCGCCTACGATGAAGAAAATCTGCTTTTCTAGTTTGCTTCTTCGTTAATTGGTTTACGTTGGTCCAGACCATGTTCAGTTCCAACAATTTGTCTTTGATGTAAGAATTTTCAAAAGTCGTAAGAAGTTCTCTAATTACTACTTTAGTAATGGTTAAGGCTCGTTTGCATTAGTGGAACTTTGAGACATCTTAAAAGAAACGCGCACGAGCTTGACGGCTTTTTAACGAAATTAATTTCACGTGTTGAGCAAGTATTTCATTTTCGGAAATATAAATGACATTATGGGTTAGAGTACTTATTGGTTTTATGCCATAAGTGCATAGATATTCATTTTTGTCTAAAAAGAATAACGGCCTTTTTTTACCTTGAACCGAATGATGTAGTTTATATTATATTTGCATAGACCAGATATTTTTGAACAACGGCTATATTCTAAATTGAACTACGTTATGCGTGATTAATATTTTTGTTGTATCAATTAAAAGATTTTCCATGTTGGCATACTTTTTTTCACTTCAAGCTGATAGCATGTTGCATCATTCAACAGAGTAGTAAGTTTTGCCTGCATTTCTTGGCCTCAAAATTTCTCTTGTCTAAATAAGCCTTTATTAGGAACGTAAAAGACACTGAATTAATTCTTTGCTAAGAATGGGAAAACGTTTTTCCTCAGAGAGGAAGATTTGAAGGAAATCTATCGTATATTTAGAAATCATCATTCGTTGCCCTACTCGTTCTCCCCCTACCCGATCCTTATCAGAAGTCGAGTAAAAAGATTACATCTTGACACTCGAGAATAAAATACGATCTGTGTGTGTGTGTCCACCGGCCTCTGAGAGAGACCTTTGTCAGGACCTTTGCCTTTTGCATAATAAAATGTCTCCCACGTCCTTAAAGAAGCCAAATTGGTGTCATCAAGGCTGTTCTCCGAAGAATATCCATTAAAATTTGCTTACATCTTCATTTTCACTGTTTATGGTTTCCTTGCCGCACAATTTGACTACTTTGTGACCGATTTTTGTTTTATCGATGGCAACACGGGTTTTCAAAGTCCATTGAAGAGTGAAATTTGATTTGGAAGTGATCGTGAAGTTTTCAAGAAATTTTTTGTGTGTACCATCAATGGATACTGAGCCGCCTCTGCCTCGAAAAGCATTGTTTCAGAAGCAAAGGGGATTGACATCAAAACATTCTCAAACTCTTGGAGAGTCATCTGGTTAGTAAGTTACCTGAAAAAACTTATTTACTTATGCAATTTTAATTGCTCACTTATTTTCTACTTGTACTGTTATTTAAACAGTATGAGAAAAGTTTCATTAATATATTGAATGGGAATACTATGTTTTAGGATTTTGAGCAGTTGAAAGAATAATGAAGCACCGGATGTGAATTCTGATACTCTTCTTCCTTTTCTGTTTTAAATAGCAACTATTTGTCAATTCTCTGAAATTATTGATGAGTAATAACCGAGTTTTGGTTTTTCTTTCTAAAAGTCTAATGTAAATAAGAATCAGTTTTCTTTATCCGTGGCATGTACAGTAATCACTAACTAAATATGCCCTTTATTAACTTATTTAATTTAGTAAAGCAAGCTAATTTATTACATTACGGTAATACACGTAAATTATCGTAATTACGTAACATTGTAATTACAGTCCTACTTTACCTGATTTTTTTTTTAATGCCTTTTTTTCTTCCAATATTTGTATGTCCATTGAATAGTCGTAGAAAAGGATGTGTTATCTTTCAGCTAACACATCCTTTTCTACGACATTACCACACGCACCGAATCAGTTAGACTGTAATTTTTACTCTAGCATCTCAGTATGAAGTATAGAGATTTTAAAGTATAGGGATTTTAAACATAAGATTATCCCTAAACAGGTTATTTGACAATGTTTTTAACCATCAGTATTTATTTTAAAAGTCAATTTTCAAAGCGAATATACTACTTAATATAGCTTTGATTTTGCATCGCTTTTTCAACATTCATTCATTGAGCGAAAGTGCAGAATCGCCCACTTGTTTGGTTGGCGTTTGTTTGGCGCTTTTTACAAGAGTAAGAAAAATTGGATTTTTGTCAAATTTCTTTGACTTTTTAAGTGAAAATAGGTCGATGTGTACATGGTAAAGTCAAAGGAGTGCGCAGTGCCATTTTTGTGCAATTCTGGGATTTTTTTAAGTGAAAATAGGTCGATGTGTACATGGATACTGAGTATGTGCAATTCTTAAAAATGCCCCAAGAAGTGGGCGATTCTGCACTTTCCCCCATTCATTTTTTACCATTTTGAAACTTTTAAACATTTAGTTCATACAATTAATGATATTTTTCTTGCAGGAACGTATTTAAATAACAATAAAATGAATATTTTGTATCATGCTTGTATTGGAGAACTTTGAGTAAAAAAAACCTTAAATTTCAGTACTAAGCATTCATATTCAGTTGGCAGATTTATTTAATTTTGTTGGTTATGCTAAAAATATTTTTTTTTGTTCACCGAAATAATTTTTCACTCTTTTTTATAAAGCAGTTTCAGCAAGTAATAAATAAATGAGCGGGTTTTACATAATGATTTATTACATTTTAACAAACAGATAAAGCTTTTCTATCAGATTTCTTTGGACACTGTTCACATCAACAACGAGCTCGGGATTTCGTTGATATGCCGTTTGGTAAATTTAGAATCTTTTTGGAGTTAATTATACTACTTGGTATATTTGTGTTCTGTGATCTGTCAAGAAAATGTTCCTTTAATAAGTTAGCAAATTCATCATGACAAATGATTGGTTTCGTTGTTGAATTTATAGATAGTATAAGAATTACACAGAGCAAAAATTTTTGTCGTGTTTTGCTGGTTTGCTGTTGATATATTGGCAAAACGATTCTAGTTGGCATCTTCCACGCAAGGGTTCTAATTTTTCACCTCTAGTCCAATACTCAAAAATGCAATACACTTTTTGAAAATTATTAACCATTTTTTAAAAAATATTTCTTATTGGGACTAATTTATTAAATTCATGTCTCGCTAGTTGACTGTCTGTGTACATCATCAGCTGTAAATGCTATCAGTTTTCCTGTCTGTCGAAGCATTTGCAAGATCTCACAGCTTCTGTTAATACTCGGTCAGATTCATAATGTAAAAAGATTGTAAAGCGTTAGCACATGCAGCATGTAAAATTGACCCTGACTCAGTACCCCATACAGAAAAAATTTAAACTGTGTATAAAGTTTCTGTTCTTAGGAATCCCTCTTACTAGACTATCCAATAAGGTGCCAGAAGTGACAGATGCAAGTTTTGAGAAATTCCTAAAATATTTGCAAACGATAGGAAACCTCGAGTCAAAATTACCTGATGTGCGTGTGCTCATGGCTTAACAAAATTTTATTGTTTTTATTATTCAGAGTATTTTAGTATGAATTAAGATTTTGTTTTAGTAAATTTACTGATAAATGTGAGGTTTATGAGAAAATCATTATGTGGCAGATTGTTTATTTTGTCATGTGGCATATACAGTCAAAAGTCGTTAATCCGGACTCGTCGGGACTTCGGCGATTCTGGATTATCGATTTTTCCAGATTATAGATCATCAGTTTAAATCTGGTAAGATGGCATGCAGAAATTATAAAATTTAAAATATGAAACCGTAATTTATGAAATAAAAAACAATTATGATCTAAAAGGTATCAAAATTTACAAAAAAAAAAAAAAAAAAAGCTTACTATTTATTTGTTTACTTTATTAAACATTTCTTTCAATGTAAGTTGTTTAAGTTGCTTCGTTTTTTATGTGATAATACTTTCTCTTTAATTCTATAAACAGACATAATTTCTTGTTCAGTTACAAAGTTCCGCTGTTCAAGTCCTATAATTGCTGAGCAGTGTGAAATTGATAAACAGATTTCGGAATGTTTAGATAAACAAAGGATATGCCTTTATCCATTTTATGCAGCAATTCCACTTTTTGTTTAATGGACTTCAAAACATACTTTCGCTTTGTAGATCCTTTACATATTAGTAAATATATATCATAAATTCTATTTGACATAATCGAAAGTTCAAGCTTACTTTTATAAAATTGCTCTAACAGTCTGCAAAAAATAATAAGCCAGATCCAATTCGAAGATTAAGGAACAATGCAATCTGCAACATTAATTGAATAAGATAATTTTAGCTTAGCTTATACCGTCCATTATACATTAAATGTGTATTTCTAAACGTATTTTGCGCATGCGCACACGCAGCCGTAAAGGTCTTGCGCGCATGCGTCAATGCAAAGTTTGTAGCTTTGAGGTCCGGATTATAGATCATTCCGGATTATGGGTGTCCAAATTAACGACTTTTGACTGTATATACACACAACTGCTGTGAATGTGCATCTAACAGCTGCACATAAAGCATGTTGGGTATTTAAGGCATATTGATATTTTGACATAACTTTTTAGCATATGTTGTTGTAACATTTTGTTTAAAATTGCTATAATACCAAAAGGTTTATTTACATATTATTTTTTTTTGTTTATTTCTTATTGGCTGTTATGTTTATTTTTAAATATTTTTTTTTTTTTTTTTTTTCTCCCTAACTGTGCTAAATTCTAGGCTATGATAAAAATGAGATTATGAGCAGCAAGGCAAAAATACAGTTTGAGCATGCTCTGGAGGTTAGCTTGAAATCTTTTGAAAGAGGTAGGCGTAATTTTTTTTTTTTTTTTTTGCAAGTAATATTGAAAGATACATTCATAATTTATTGAGAACTGTCTTTTGTGCTGCATTTTTAATTCTTCTAATTTGTATGTATTTTTTTCCTCTTTACAAATTCAAATTCTTACAATAAAGAGGGAGACGTACGCTAAAAATATGAGCATATAACTTGCAATAAATGTAACATGGTATTTAGGGGAATATGTATTCAATGAGGTACTTTCATAAATGGATTCGAACCCTTTATAGATGACACCACAGTGCAGAACAAATAATTACGCTCTGTCTATGATAGCATTATAGTACAGGGAGGCATTAAAAATTTTTTTATGTGTGTATATTGGATGTTTTTAAATTTTTAGCAAATAAACTAGTGCAAAATGACGAATTAGGCAGGGCCATACCTTCAGGCTGGGACAGTTTTCGGCAAACCAGGATTGGTTGGTAAGCCAATTTAAAATAATAAAGATACAATTATAAGTAAATAATTTTTTAACAGATATTCTTATATTTCTGTAATTAATTACTAACATTAATTATTTTTATTGAAACCTTAAATAATTTTTTAAACTTGCAGAGGGCACATGTAAAACCGTCGGCGGGCACAGTGATGCTCCACAGGCACATAGTTGGGGGGACTTCTGTTCTAATACGAGAGCTCAAATTTCAAAATTAAAATATTGCAGTATTATCAGATAAATTCACCCTTTTAATACAAGAGCTGAAATTTACACACATACACACAAAAGAGTTACTAATGAATTTGACACTTTTAATACTAAATCTTGGATTTAGAATATCATACTGTTAGTTTAATTCAGTAATAAGATGAAGCATTTTCATGGAAAAAGGAACTGTATTCACAAAAAGGCTGGTACTCATGCACCCTGCATTTCTTTCGTTTTTAAACATGAAGATTGGTGTCAGTTTATGATCCAAGTGATTACCATCAGATATCTTAGTCTGTAGTGAAGTTTTGAAAGAATTTCATCATTTGATCAAACATCAACATAATAACATACTATTTTATACCATATCCCACATAAAAAACTAATTAAAAAAAATTTCAGTTAGTAACGCAGTTACTACAGTTGTCTATGTGCAAGTGCAAGGGACGTTTTTTATTAATCTACATTTCTTGCTGTATATTTATTTGATAATGTACAGACTCCTTATCAGTCTAGCTTATTTAGCATCCATAATATCCTTAACTATGTATAATACTTATATATCAGGTTCTACATCTCTTGCTAGATATTTGCAACTGTAGCAGTGCCCTTTATCTATCTTGCTTATTTAGCAGTTGAAGACCATACATATAATGAAAGGGGGGGGGAGAGGAAATAAATTTAAGTTTTTTTAACATATTTCATTGATTCTCATAAGTCAAGTGTGTTTATGCATATTATACTGTCATTTTATCTGTTTCTTTCTTTATAAATACTTTGTATGTAGTTGAAGCAACATTGTATATGTGCAGAATAGTTTGCTTCTCCAGATGAGAGACTGCATCACTTTATCATCTGCAATGCATGCATTCTTTAAACGTAAAAGTTCTGTGACTAAAGTTTCATTCTGCTGGTATTCCCGATTGATGCTTATCTGCTGTAATTCACTTTTATGTAAAATATAATCTATGCAATTGATATCATGATGAATATTTGTTATTTCATATAATTGTTATTTATTAATAAATTAAATGTCTTATTAATAAATTAAATGTCTAATTTCAAACCTAACAAATAATCAAGAGAAAAAATTAGAGAGATTTTGTAGAAAGGAAATGATAAGAAATTTTGGTTTTAATTATGAAGGTTTGGTATTTTTCTGTTAATGGGACATCAGCTACTAAATGTGGTAATTTTTTTTAGCATATTATGAGTAGCTGTGTAATGACATCATTGTGAATAAGCAGGAAAAATAAAAAAAAAATCAATCCTTAAGTAATAGATTCTTCTAGATTTTCACTTCCTTAAGTAATAGATTGTCAGATATGGACACTTGCAGTTAGCCACAAACAGAACATTGATACGGGATGCCATGTGCAAACTAAATATTTGTGCTGCCTTAGTTGTCACTGCCTGGATTCCTACCTTATGGAATTTATGTAGGTCCAATTGCATGAAATGTTGCAAATGGTAAATGAAATTGGCAGTTTTATGCTTAATATGAAATTAATTTGGTAATATCAATTTTGTATTTTGTTTTTCTTTATCAATTTGTATATATTCTGAATTTAATAACATAGTCATATAGAAATTTTAGAAATATTACTGTAAATTGTAATTACTGTATTTATTGTAAAAATATTACTGCAGCTCCTTCCATTGTTGGGAAATTCCACAAATGGATATTTAAAAATTGGGTTTAAGACAAAAAAAACTTGGTTTGTTTATAAAAGCTGTTGGAACATGTAATACATTAAAAAATAGTGACATTGCTTGACTGAAGGATTGTTATGAGCACGGTTGCCTAAAAAATGTTTATGTGCCTGGTTACCAGAATTTGGCACATTCTGAAAATTTGGAAACTTTTTACTTTTGGTTGCAATAACCATGGTTCGTACGGTCCTTAAGAGTCCTTAAAAGTCCTTAGATTTTTTGGAATCGATTTTTGGTCCTTAAAAGTCCTTAATTTTGGCCAAAATCGGTAGAAGGTCCTTAATTTTAATCATCTGAAATTTCTGTGTGTTTTTACGACTGCCATTTTGAGTGTGAATTAGAATTTTGGAGGAATATTTTTCGCAATTCACTGACATATATGGTTATCTTTTGAAAGGTTCATGGTTTATAATTTGTTTCTATTTCTAATAGAAATGATTGGATACTCGAATTTCTAAGCAAGAAGTGAAACATAAGCATTTTGAAATTCATTTTTTTCTAATAAAGAGCTCTTAAACAACTTCTCGCTTTGGGGATGTGAATTCTTTTATTAAACGTTTCTAAATTTAGCGACTTATCAGCATTTTGGCGATTTTAAGATTAGTTTCTATAGAAAATTTTTTAATTCCGAGATCTGAGAATTTTTCGACGATTTTTTTTAAAACATCGTAACATTGATAAATTTCATTAAAATAATGGTAATATATTGAAATTATATTTAAAAAATAAGATTAAAATAAAACATAATTATTTTTGCTGTCATATTATAAAGTTTCATTTTGGCAACTTATTATACAATATTTTGAATCTGAAAAATAAATAAGGTATAATGCTATAAAGCATGATTTATGAAACAGCTCTTAGCAAAAGCAAAATTAGCTATGTAATTAATTAAAAATGTCTTGTTTTTAATTTTTTCATAGTAAGAGTTTTTCCCATGTAATTAATTGTCTCGGATTACTCAAAATTCTCATAATGGGCATCAGTTTTCTCTATAAAATTAATTTTATACTTTTCCCCTCCCTTTTTTTTTTTTTTTTTTTTTTGCCGAAATATTTCTATTTTTTTGCTGTTACAGAAATGGTAGGGAAAATTTTTCTTTAGGATTTTAGACATTGCAGCTTGGACAGTTCAGAAGGATTTGAAGGCAAGATTTATAGACCCACGATTCCAGAAGATTCGAGAAATATGTGACAAAATGAAAAATGTCTCCATGGTATCAACACGTAATGGATGTATTTTACAGAAAGTTTGCAATGAATTTCTTACTTTTTGGAGAATGTCTGGAAGGACAATGAAAACATAATATTTGAATATTTTACTTCTGATACTAGAATCTTAACATATTTATCTTCCCTTTATTTCTCTACATTTCACTAGACACAAGCATGGAAAATATCAAAAACGCTTCTAATCTTATCACATGGGCAGGCATTATAAGATAGGGATTGTTTTTATTAATAAAGAAATTGAAAAGCTTACAACTTAAAAGATTAATCTTATATCTCTTAATGCATCATACACATAAGCTGGCACTAGGCATTTTCCCACTTGATGCCAATCTCTGTGCGGATCCTAAATTCTGCTGCCTAGTGCCCTTCTAAAGTTCTCCTTCCAATACCTGCTCTAAAGTTCTAAAAGTTTTGCCATTTCTAGATTTTGTTGTTTCGGTGTGTTCACTCAATTTCTAAAAAGTTCTGGCACATCAGCTCTGTAACTGGCCTTTACAATATATATTTTATATTTCTTTTGAATGTTCACATTACTAAAGAAATAAAATTAGCCGCCTTTTGTATAAATTCTAAATGCATTTAGTGTTTTTTAGAATAAGAGAAATCCTTAATTAAATCCAAAAATTCTAAAATGAAAAGGAAACGTGTCGAAGAAAGAAACTGAATACATAAAGAAAATTATTCTTCAAAGATATGTGCAGTTATTATTATGTAAATTACCCAATAATTTATAATTTGAGCCTTTACTATAATTTCCCACTTCTATTTCCTCATATGATAGAGTTACTGAGCCAAATTAAATTTTATAATCTTTGACCATTAGTCCACATTTTTAGTTTGAATTAAGCTGTTCTTGTTTAATTACATCACTGTGAGCTGTAATTGATTTTGCTAGCATCAGAAAATGCCATTATGTTCTAAGTTCTTTATTTTAAACGTTTGTCTGATATTGTAAATACTTTCAGACATAGCGATAATATGCTTCTCATCTGTCGGAGGTTTTGGACTATTTAACTTTTACCAGATCAAGTAAACCTTTAAAGGTACATTGTAGAGAGGTTGACAAGCACGCAGAATCTAACGAGAGCATTGGTTTGCATAGTGAGACAAATCTTTAATTGTTAGAAAAGATGCTTAAAGAGAAGGAAGTCGATATAAAGTAGCCAAAATGTTTGGGAAGGCTTCGAATTAAAATGACGGATAAATATTTTTTGAGTGTTGTTGTTAGAAGACATAAATGTTTTGTAGCTTTTAAAGTGTAATTATCCTAATGTCGTAAATTACATGTATTTTAAACTGTGAAATGTTATTAGATTTTGATTTTAATAGTTTTTTTTTAACAAATATTGTTAAAAAATAAAATTTAATAGTGGCCATGTAAATCCATAATGACTAAGGTTATCAAACTACCTAATTTAATTATTTATAACTAACTGCTTACCCTTAAAAATTATCCTTACATATTAAAGTGAGTTATTGCCTTTCATTAATACTCACTGTGGTCATAAGATAAAATAAAAAAGTTTAAAAATTCAAGTAAAACTTATTCTTTGCATCTGGTGAGACTTAAAATAATACAAAACAGTTTATCGCCTCTGGTGCTTTAATGGCTTATTAGAACCTTAAAGTATATCAACTGGGTACAATCTCTGGAACTCTACACGAAGCTACGACACTAATTGCATCAAACAGAGCCTGACTAACTTTCAACACTTGTTAACTGTGCCTACGTCAAGCGTTTCAGGTTCATTCTAATCAGCAGGTCTCTCTCTAGACAAGCAGCAGTGGTGACAACATTCAGTCTTTTGGGTTACGAATCATGCTGATTTTGATCTTACTTCTCATTTTAACCTATGCCATTATACATAAAATCTACCTGCTATTTACTAAACCTCTAGACTGAGCAAGTATGCGACAAAACGAGACATAAAAAAAAATCAACATAAAGCTAACTGTTTGTAAAACGTAAATGTCACTTATTTCTTTTAAATATGTCCAACTATTATAAGTGTCAAATATTTAATGCTACTTGATAAGTTCCTTAAAGTCTATTTTATTCTCAAACTTATTAATAATTATGTTAATTAATTCATGTTTAGTAATACTGCATACTACTTAGGGATCTATTTCATTTTAGGATAGTATTACAAAAGTGAAATTCAGGCATGGATAATATTTTTAATTGAATTTATTCAGTTCCCATTTGCTCATAGGTCCTTAATTTTTTTCATTAATGGTCCTTAAAAGTCCTTAAAAGTACTTAATTTCTGTGTGCAGAAATGTGTACGAACACTGAATAACTCTTAGGTACCTTTTAAGCCAGCGCATCATTAGAAACTGTAAAATGACATTCTGGAAAACATTTTTAGAAAGTGATAAATGCAACTGAATCTTTTGAAAATGCAAGCACTTTAAAGGAGAGAAATATGTAGATAACTCTGCTAGAGGCCACACATATTATATTCAGTGCTGGGGTCAGTCTTAAAAAACTGTCGAAAGCTATTTTTCAAAATGTGGCTTTTATGTAGGAAAAGCTTCAGAGAAATTGCAAGTCATAGCTAATATTTCAGACATCAGTGTGAGAAGTTGTGAAGATTCATTTCTATAATATGTATTGCTTGATGACAACATGGAGTCAGCATGTGTAAAAACTGACTGTGGTATTATAGAAAGTGTTAAAAAAACTGGAAACTGAAAGCAAAAGTGTTATAGAAAAAAGTCAATTGAGTTTTGTAGAAAAGCACTGCAAATTGTAAGAAACACTCTTGAATTGAAACGTGCTGATAAAAAATGTTATCATTAGTTTTCTGAAATTGAGATAAATTGAAAAACCGTTGAAATTTCAAAATAATGTAAATAGTTTAATTTTAGCATTAATTTTCAGTTATTTTAAGGTTAATTATTGGCTAATTTGTAATTTGTTATTTTACTAAATAAATTTAAAACTGATATTAGAATTTGAAATACACAGTTCGTCATCTGTTAAACTTGGCCGTTTAATAAACTCAAAACCTGTTTGGAATGGAAGTGATTTTAATAAGCAGCAGTTACTGTATTTTCATTTGAAATTGTTTTTCGATATGAAGGTGTCATGTAATGTATATAATGCATGATTTTTATTTATTTTCAGAGCTTCATCTTCAACGTTTGGAAAATTTAAGACAACTAGCTGAAAAGTTAAAAGATGATGCTTGGATGTATTCTGATTTAGAAGCAACGTTAGGTATTTGAGTTAACTACGCCATAGGACATAACATGTCGTCCTGCGATCCTGTGGTACTGAATTATGAAAACTGTTTGCTACGACAATCTGATGTGCAGCTTCTAAATCCTCCAAATTGGCTGAATGATAATATTATTTCTTTTTGGTTTGAATATTTAGAAAATGATGTTTATAAAGATTATAAAAAAGTGTTTGGATTTATTTGTCCTCAAGTGGTTCAATATTTAAAATTTGGACTTCCAGAAGATATTAAATCTACAATTGAAGGCTTGGAATTAAATAAAAAACAGTATGTTTTTTTCGCAGTGAATGACTGCAGGGCACAAACTGTTCCTGGGGGTACACATTGGAGCCTTCTTGTTTACAATGCACGTGAAAATACTTTTGAACATTATGATTCTTATCCTGGAAGTTGTAATCTTTCTGTGGCTGAGAGCTTAGCAAAAGGATTAGCTGCATTTTTAAGGGATTCTTCTCAGTTTGGGCGAGCTCCTTCTATTCATGAGATGCCATGCACTCAGCAGAATAATACTTATGATTGTGGTATGCATGTAATTTGTAATACAGATGGCCTATGTCGTAAATATTCAACTCATGATCCAAGGCCCTTGTCTGAAATAGTGCCTTTAAGTGTTATAGCTAATTCTAGAGAAACACTGAAAGATATTATTTTTTCTTTGAAGAAATGATTAAAGGTTTGAAAAAATAATTCCATTTCCTATACTTAAGAATTCTTTTTTGATGTTAATTTAATGTAAATATTCATATTAATAATAAATTTAGATTTGTTCAACTTTATTACCGTTTATATAAATTAATGCAAATTTTGTTTCAGATTCTTGTTTTCAAATTTTCATTCATGTTACCTGAAATTTAGAAAGAAATTTATACTGCACTTTATTTATTTAAATTGATTCATCATTCAATCTTTCTTTTCTTTCTTTCTTTCTTTTCTTTTTTTTAAATGTGAAAAGCAGGATACTTCATAGAGAATGAAACTGAATTAGCTAATGTCTTCTAAAATGAACTTTATTCTGTAAAATAAATACTTTAAAAATAATATTTAATTGTAGACAAAGAGAGTGACTGATATGTATCTGAGAAGCTCCATACTATAATTTATTATATAAAGGGTTAGGTTACTTATTATAAGCACAGTACTTTAAGGATGTTTATTTTATGAAAGAAATTTGTAGACAAATGAGTGAGAACGGAAATGATTTGATTTTTTTCTTGTAAAGTATTTTTTGTTTGACATCAGTGATAATCATTATGTGTAATAATCTTTGCTTTCTTAGGTAGTTTGAGCATGAATAGTTATGCTTTATAAACTAGAACTTGTTTGCGAAATTAGTAAATTTTTTGCAACTATTTAGCCATAAAAGTAATTTTGTAATTGATGTAATTAAAGTACTGCACCTTTAATTGAGATCAATTAATAGATGGAGCTGTTTTCTTTTTATTTCAAGAAATAAGTTTCTGTAGCTGAAAGAATAGTGAATAGTTTTAGTTGCAGTCTTTCATATATTTCTGAGGCAGTTTTTGTTGTTGAAGTTGCTTAGATATTTGTAGTACCTAGTATTTTTAACATTATTCCTATAAAATGATTGAAAAATAACTTGATCATCTTGCTAGAACTTTCATTCCAAATTTTCTTTATGTAACACACTGATAGTGGGTAAAACAGCTTAGAACATCATAATATGAAAATGATAAACTGCCATCAAAGTAGCCATTTACCTTTTTGCTATTTAAAGTCATGAAATACTATCCAAAGTACAGTATTTTGCTGATATCGTATTAGCAGTGTTATGTCTGGAATGCATAGGAGGCAGACTTCAAAATGCCATTAAGTCATTGAATGCCATGGTGACTGGTGACCAAAACTGTACTTTTTGTTTAGACGATATCCTTCACCAGTGTTTTAGAGTATCCTTTTCATTCAGGCTTCATTAGTCATATAAACAATTTAAAATAAATTCTATCAAATTCTGTACAAGTTTCTGGCCTCCAGCAATATCAGAGAAATCAGATACCATGGGGTATAGAAAGGAAGACAAAATTGGCTTGGCACTTAACATTAAATAAAGCTGTCAGTGAAAATGAAAATTCAGTAAATGATATTTTGAAGATTTTGCTAAACAAAAGTTGCCAGGTAATTTATTGGGCAAACTATTTTAGCACATTTCCAAGATAATGTTGCAAATTTTATATTATATACCAAATATTTCAAGTATTGTGTATTCCAAATGTTAAAAAAGGCTATTTTACTAATTAAATTAAAATTTCGATCTTGCAGGTAAAATGCTATTCATGCTTTATGCATATAGTTTTTTTTATTTTTTTTTAAATTTGAAAACGAGAAAAATACATTACTTTATTTTCCAAAAGCCATGAAAATTTCAGTAACTTCATATTAGGAAAAAAGGTAATATTATTTTAATGTCTGCTTTTAATTACACGGTTTTATTAATATTAGGGCATTGTATTTCAACTAATTTAGGAGACAATGGCAGCATAAAATGTGAGTTCTGACCTTTTTATTATTTAAATTTTTTCTTTAGTACCAGTATCATATAAATTGTAACTACAAAGCCCAAGATCCGGAACTATCGGGACTTCCAGGTTTAGGAAATTTCTGGATTTTAGATCATCAGATTTAAATGTAATAAAATTACCTAAAGAAATTATAAAACAGAAAAAGTTGTTTGTGAAAAAATAATGGAACATTTATTATCTTAAGGGAACCAATATTTACAAGAAAAGAAGGGATGGAACGTAGTGTTAATTTTGTTAAAATTTCTTTTCACTATAAGCTGTTTAAGCACTTTCAGTTTATGTATTAAACTTTCTTTTTAAATTTATAGATAGACACTTTCTTGTTCAGTTTCCGTTGGCAGAGCTGCCTACGCAAGCATTTTTAAATATATCCGCAGATCTGCCCTCTCAGAACTTTGCAATGCTCCACATAGCAGATTTTATATTGAAATGTATCGAAAATTCTAGGATGGTCTTATTGCTTCAAATTTAAAAAGACCACTTTATGTACAAGCAATGCAAAATGTCAGAATTTCATTGGCTGCTTAATAAATATAAAGTTTTATGAAAGAGTAAAATGGAGATGTTTTCTTTTACTTTAATTTTGATAAAATAGCAGAATAATAAACTGAATAAAATAATAAGCTGGATCAAATCGGAAAGTTAAGGAAAAGTATAATTTGCAGTGCTAGTTTAGTCTAAGTTAATCGGCACATGAATGTTTCTCCTTTCCTGCTTTTGCAAACAGATGCTGCCCCGTAACAATCATTCAAGAGCTGAAAATTGAAATTTGATGAGATGCAAGATGGCTCAATATATTATCACCAATAATGATTTTTTTCAGAAAAGGGGTACTTTGTTAAATCTAACACAATTCAATTTACTACACATTTGCAGTTGCTTGAGTATCATATTGTCTGTTCCCACACTGTAAGGAGGAAAAATATTAGTTATAGGATGTGAATTTTTGTGTAAATTTTATTTTTGAGTAATTGTTTGCATTTAATTTTCTGCTTCAATTCAAATGCACTTAAAAACAATAATTTTTCACTCAAAATATGCATTTAGATTTTTAAGGTGGTATGGAAGAGTATAGTGTATTTTATTACTGATAAATGTTTGAATGGAATGTTAAATTTTCCCCAGAATATAAAAAATTCATTTCATTTATGCAGATTTAAAAAAATAGTTGCTCTGCTACAAATACATAGTTACATATTTTATTTTACTGTAATTTTCCAGTGCCTATATCATTAATCAGGGAAAGAGACATCAAAGTACACATTATTCTGAAATATAATTTTTATTTACAATTGGATGCATTTACACTTCGACTTTGATATATAGAGATATATTACACAGAGCCTTACTTAAATGTTTAACCAGTCAGTAGTATTCTTAGATAAATGTATGAGTACAGTATATGATAAAAATATGTAAACAATTTTTGATTATAATAAAAATTCCACTACATTTTATCTGAATTATTATTATGTGTTTTTGAGTGACTAGAAGCATCTGTGTTGGAGAAAAGGCAACTTTGTTATATTTAAGCATGTTTTGTCACCAGTTTTTTGGACGGGGAAGGGATGGTGTTAAATAGTCCTTTAGTCTTCTTTTGAATGCTTGTAAGTATTTAATTGAAATATTAATTTTTTAAAAACTCTTTAGAAGTTAATGTCTAATTTTTTTTGGTCGAGTAGGATTTTATTTGTAATGTGTTATGACATAATTTTAATATTGGGATGTTTGGCTCCATAATTTCAGTTAAGTTACTGAGAAGAACTAAATTTAATTTTAAAGTGTGGGCTTTAAGTAAAGCATAACATAAGTGGAAAATAACATTTTGTAATTTATTTAGAAAATTATTTATGAATTGTATATTCATTCATTGTATGTTCATTTAATTTTGTGTAGCTCTTTAGTTCCATTTTATTAGGAATTACCTATACTGGGAAGTTTTCTGTAGCAGTTATTGTCCTTAATTTAAATGATAAACTGATGACATTTAAATTGCATATGATATATTTAACTTAGTTAATTAGTATATTTGCTTAGATGTGCTAAACAAATTATTCAGAATGCCTTTTAGAATTTTTAGTGCATCCCTAAATTCTTTTTTATGTACTGCATTCATTGTAATTTCCTGGTTTGTGGATAATAAAACTGTTAATTTACATATGACAAAATCTGCAGTTTGTTTGTACAGAAAGTATTAATCAAATAAATAGAAATTATTTTCTTTAATGAATAAAATATGAAATCAAAATTGTTCTCTTTTCACTTTATTTCTCTTGTTTAAAGTTTATCTGCCTAATACCCAGCTTTAAAACTGCTTTCTCTCTATATATATACATATATAATGTACACATCTGCGGGATTTTTATGAATTTCCAAAAATTTGATGTCAGTGTTTCCCCAATTCATATTTTAAGTAAATTTCAGTATTGAAAATTTTCTTATTTAGGAATAATATTGTAAAAAGCTTAGGCTCACTGTATGGAGTTTTACACAAATACCAAATTAAAAATTTATTACTGTATTTATCTCATAACTATTAGAATATGAGGAAAATTCTTATTCTAAGTGAAATGGAAGGATAAATTTACTATCTATCATATTCTTCAAATTTTTAAAATGCTTAAATGTCTTAGATTTTTTATTATTTATTTATTTTTTGTCAAAAATAAATGTTAGTTTAAGGGTTCATGTTTTCAAAAAGGTAGATTTCATGTTTTAAGATAAGTAGATATTTTATTTTGAGATTTTCTTGATGTATGGAAATATTTGACTGAATGAAGCAATAATAAGTTGCATATTAATCATATATTAATTGTCTTAATAGTATATTATATTTACAGGGTAAAAATGCATGCCTTGTTTCAGAATTTTAGCACATTTGATATCTGTCAAAGAACTATGGGATATGTATACACATTATACTAAAACATATATTGCAAGTCCACAAATCATCTTCATTTAAAAAATATTTACATCTTTGATATTAGTAAGATGAAAATACGAGTGATGGCAAAAAAGCAAGAATTAATGTCTCGCATTAAACTAGTCTTAGGAAATGTATTTTATTTTCTTAATTCCAGCTATTTTGGAAAACTGCATGAGTGAACTTTTATGAAATAAATAATAATTAAATTAAGTGTTTAGATAAATGGTTATAATGTCCACTGATTTATGAATTGAAAATACTGTAGAATTTAAACTATTTATAAGAGAATTGTGTAAGTTAAGCTGCATAATTACAAATTTTACAGAAAATATGTATATAAAAATATTACATTCACAGTTTTACAGAACAGTACAAAGACATCAGCTACTGTATCACCAGGGATAACTTTAAATATGCAGACATGTTATACTGAAGTATGTGAAATCAGAAAATGATTTTCTTTTGATAAATAGGCAGAAAATCACCTCAATTTCATCACTTTTAAATTCTTGATATTAGCAACTACCAGGATTCTGGGTCTTCATTATTCATGTCTAAAGTGACATATATCATGAGCTGAAAATCTTAGATGTTTATGAGTTTTACAAGAATTCAATAGCCATTGGCATCATGTTTCAGTTTCTCTTTTGGTGTCACCATTTACTTGTTCTGTTGGTCTTCCTGAAGTGCTGTTGTTTTGCTGAAATAGTGAAAAAATTTATTGTATGCACAATACATTGTGATTATAGCTGCATTAATAAGCTTTATATAAGAAATTGTTTTTTAGTAATATTGTTAAAATTATACCTGTGGAACACTGTCCTTCATGTAAGTAGGATTTTCAAAAGAAACACCTGGAGAAATACCAGGAGGAGGTTTCATAAGACGCTGTCTTTGATAAAAGAATATACCTAATCCTCCAACAAGAACCAGGAATAGTGCTGAACCAATAACAGCTGCAGCAGTTTTTGCTACAGGATTAGTAGAATCTGAAACAAAAAATACAATCAGTTCTGTAATATGAGGGAATTATTACAAAGTAAAAAATATTATTCAAAAATGGATGGAAATTGCCATATTGGGAGATCTGTGTATTGGATGTAATTTGATATAGGGTGTCAGCACATTTTTAGAATAAATAAGTGCATTCTAAAACTTCCAAAAGAACATCTTATTAATTTATGTTAATGTAAAGGCACTGCTCTAGTTAAATGTAATTTTCTTTAAAGGATAGAAGATTGTTTTTTTTTTTTTTGCTGTTTTGGAAGAAAAGTATTCACATTTTTTGTGCCACAGTATGATAATATAAAGTTTGCATGAACTTTGTATCAGTAGGAGCTGCATGTTAGAATTCGATGATATTCAATATTTGTAATTTGATATTAAGGAAAAAAATTGAAACACTTTTAAATTTTAAATAATCAAACAAGTAATTTGCATTTTGTGATTAACGGGTTATATATTGTTATTTCAAGTAGCCTGATGCTTGTTATTTACTGTATTCATCAGCAATGGCCATTACTCATTGGTCTTTAGGCATTTCATTAACCTATTTATGTCTAACAGACATTACTCATGGGGCATCACAAGGACTGACTGATATTACACCTGTAGGAATGGGGATGTTCCATCCCAAGTTTTATGGAGAACACACTAAGGAAGAAGTCCGAGGGTCTCCCATCCCACTTTCCCTGTCACCAAACCACTGTGGCTCATTCTGTATTTTAAGTGACCCCATGCCACACCTGCACTTATAAACATCCATAGAACTCAGCCCATCCATACAACAGCCAGCAGTGTTAACCACTATACCGATCAAGGTGGCATATGATTATTTATAAACCTAATTAAATAATTCTTGATGCTCTTGTACTGTATGTCAATGAATTGTTCTAGGAGAATGGAAAAAGCCGGGCATTTCTGTTATTTTTTAGACTAAAAGCTATGAAGTCCTGAAGGACTATTAATTTCGTTTTGGCATTTTGCGCTGAAAACTAATGTCGGTTCGCCTTTCAAATTGTTGCCACAAAATTGTATCACCATGTGTTATAGTTAAAGAAATTAAATAATGAAGAATAAAGCATAAATGTATGTATGTTTCTCACGTAGCAAGGAAACAATAGTACTAGAGCCATCAAATTTTGAATAATGTAATCTTCTTCCGAATACGTGTATTTGGAAAGCCCTGATTTGGAATTTGAAATTTGTTTCATTATTGATTTCATATTTTGTAACACATCAACGAATTTTTAATTAACAAACTCGATGATTTCAAAGCGAGCAATAGGGGGGGAAAAAAAAATTTTATCTCCAGCGTGCAAGACTCTGAATCAGAAATTCTAAAAAAATGCTCATTTTAAAATTATTTTACGATATTGCTGTTGAATTGTTTAAGTGCAAAGAACATTTAATAAATAAAGGAATGCACAGAAGGTTAAAAAAAAAAAAGTCCCTTTGGGCGTAATGAAAAATCTGAAAGCTTTCAGATTTTTTTATTATATTTTTTTTTCTTGGAATATAAATTTCAAGTACAGTTCATTTAAATTTTGTCTAGGCAATCTTGGCCCGAATTAAAGCCCTTGGAAGAAAAAAATTAAACTTTTTTTCTTAATTATCCTAAAGGGATAATTTGCTCAGAAGGGCTTTTAATTTCATTTTGGCATTTTGTGTTAGTTCACTATAAAAGTCTGAATCACTTTTCAAATTGTTACCACCAAATTATGAATGACATAGTCTTCCACTCAAGTATTGGCATCTGGAAATATAAATTTGGAATTTGTTTTATTATCTACAGTCAAAAGTCGTTAATCCAGACTCGTCGGGACTTCGGTGATTCCGGATTATCGATTTTTCTGGATTATAGATCATCAGTTTAAATCTTGTAAGATGGCATGCAGAAATTCTAAAATTAAAAATATGAAACCATAATTTATGAAATAAAGAACAATTATGATCTAAAGGGTATCAAAATTTACAAAAAAAAAAAAAAAAAAAAAAAACAGCTTAATATTTATTTGTTTACTTTATTAAACATTTCCTTCAATGTAAGTTGCTTCGTTTCATGTGATAATACTTTCTCTTTAATTCTATAAACAGACATAATTTCTTGTTCAGTTACAAAGTTTCGCTGTTCAAGTCCCGTTAATTGCTGTGCCGAGAATACCGACTAACTTGTCAATCGAAATTTTTTTGTTTTCGCTAACCTCTCTGTCACATTCTTCATGTCTTTATCCATTTTTTGCAGCAATTCCACTTTTTGTTTGTTGGACATCGAAACATACTTTCGTTTTGTAGATCCTTTGGAAGTTCCAGCATCGGAAATTCTATTTGACATAATCAAAAGTTCAAGTTTACTTTTATAAAATTGCTCTTACAGTCTGCAAAAAATAATAAGCGGGATCCAATTCGAAGATTAAAGAACAACGCAATCATTAACATTAACTGAAATAGATAATTAGATAATTTTAGCTTACACCGTCCGTTATACATTAAACGCGCAGGCGAAAACGTATTCTGCACTTGCGCACACGCATATGCGCAGTAGTCAAGGTCTTGCGCGCACGCGTAAAATGCCTGTGCGCATGTGCCAATGCGGCGCATGCGCAGAAAGTTTTTAGCTTTGAGGTCCGGATTATAGATCATTCCGGATTATGGGTGTCCGAATTAACGACTTTTGACTGTATTTCATATTTTTTGCAAAATCTTAATGAATTATTTTAACGAATGAATATTTAACTATCACACTCAACGATTTCAAAGTGTTCCATTAACATTGCAGGCATCTTCAAAGCACGGATGTTTTATGCACGAGGTTTCTTTTTATGTGATATTGCTGTTGAATTGAATTTTATGGCTTAAGTGCAAAGAACATAATATTAAATAAATAAAAGTAACACAAAAAATGTTAACAAAACTGAAAGCCTTCAGTTTTTTTTTTTTTTTTATCAGTAGAAGTAAATTCAATTTTATGGGAGTAAATTGAGATTGGAAACTCCAGAGATCTTCAAAACAATATGCTTTTGATTAGACTGAAGGATAATGCAGCAATTTGAAACAATGAATTTCCTTTATTCTTCACCTATACATACTTCATTGGAAAGAATAAGAACAGTTAGGATGGGAAATCCTGAATTGTAGTGAAATTGCAATATTTCAAAATAAACTGTCAACTTACTAAGGTTTTGCATAAAAAAAATTATGTTTTCTGCATGTAATATGAAGCTAATGAGATTGTACGTAACCTTAAAAGTTTAATTCATTAAATACAGAATGAATCATCATATATATATGTAAAAGACAAGCTTAATGCACGAAAATACTTGGCATGTTTATATTGGTTTTCAAAAGAATTGTTTTGTAATTATATATATATATATATATATATACACACATTTGTTTAATTTGCTATTATATGCATTCATTGCATATTTGAGTAAGAATCAAGGTATTATGATAAGTCAGCAGGTTGCTAATATATTTGTCTTTCCTGCTGTCCCAGTATCCATTATATAATCTGTAAATATCATCACTATAGTTAAAGCTTACATAAACAAAACTGTATTTTGCTTATTTTCGTGATGACTGCAAATAGCATGCACTTTGAAAACGTTTTGTATGTTATTTGGTTGACCCAACGTTACATTGACCCTAAAGAGAAAAGGACTTTTTTAAATGGTTATTTTGCATGGAATGGAAAACCAATTGGGACTTTTTCATGTGTCATTATATCGAGGGCCTTACTAATGCAAATCCTTAACTTGTAAAAAGAATATTTTCAGTGCATTATCTATTTTAAATTGCATTTGTTTTCAAGAAAACTATTTGTAGTAGAATCAGCTGCATTCAGTAGGTCAAAGAAACACAGCTTGCAACACACCAGTGTAGCAAAGATTTATAGTCTTCTCAGTTGTCTTGTTTGCTACCAGACATCCTGAAAATTCCCAGTTTTAAGGGGTGTTGCTATCCACAATGGCATATCATTTTTTTTCCCTCTTTGTACTATCGGTGGCAAATTGCCCAGTCTTTGAAATGTTGCTATGTCCTGCAGCATAAGTTCTTTATCCTTTCAATTAAAGCTGCATATTGCATTATAAGCTGATTAGTAGTTTAAAAGTAAGATACATACTTTTATAATTTATCATTATTTTTTCAATAATATATATTTTACCGTGAAAGACCGAAATTGGAGAATGTCGACTTTCACCGGAGAATATCAACATTCACCAAATACTTTGGTGAAAGACCGGATATTTCACTACATTCTTGTATATTCGGACCCTCACCAATGTATGTCGACAATCACACAGATATGCTCTGGTGAAAGTCGAAAAGAGAGGTCATAAAGTGCCATAATAGTTTAAGTTGTTGCAATAAATAAGATTTGAATCACATATTTTAGTAAGTTTTTATTACTGTTATTTTATTTTCTCATTTAGAACGTACTGTATAATTAAGTAAGTTTTTAACTTCTATTATTTTCCTTTCTCATTTTGAATGTATTGTGTGTTTTAGGTTCTCATGTTCTTATTTAAAGTCTCAAGTGCATTTATTCGCGACTGAATTACGGAGAAGAAAATATGATATTGTTATATGTTCAACATTCACCATTAGTATATGGTGTATGTCGACATTGACCGGTGTAAGTCAGAAATAAGAGTATTTGGAAAATATTTCGGACATACACCAAGAGACTATGTGAATGTTGACATTCACCGGTGAAAGTCGACATTCTCCAGTATTCGGTGTTTCACCATAACATATATATATATCCTAATAGATCTAATTATTGTAATACATCTAGTGATAATTTATGAGAACATTTACACCATTAATGTAATTAATATTTTAGGTGCTTTGTTTATACTGCAGTATAGAACCTAATCTAACCTTTGTGTACCACTTAACAAGTTTATAAAGCAAATTTGTTGCAAAAAATTTTGCTAGTGTCACCCAATTAACATTTCTAAATACTAAGTAAGGTATTATATATGTATATTGCAAACTGTTTCTGCTTGGGGGGAGCAGTACATGAATATCAAAAGGGGACATACTTTAACAACTTTTTCAGAACATATATGTGACCTTAAAAGAAATTACCCCAACTCAGAAAACAGTCTCAATATTTTTAAATTCCACTTGTTAATTGTGATTTAAGTGATAAAGATTTTAAACCTAAAAAAAGTCATACAGTAGGATATTCATTGCCTTCTCCCTAGATATATGGCTGAATGCAAAATACATTGTAGAATTCTTTTTCGAAATAATTTGGCTACAGACAAATCTAAATATGATAGAAATGCTTTGGAAATCAAGCCAAATTAACAATACAAGTAAAGATCCATCTGATGGATAATTATTATAATAGTTTATTAATAAGTTATGCATTATTGGCTGCATGAGAGGAATTGTAAAGGCAAATATATCTTATGAAAGATTTTCTAAGGCAAACTGACTATAATACAGATGGGGGAAGTCATGAAAAAATCGTGAACTCAGAGTGCTTGCCTGGTTACAAATCTGCTAAATTACCATTTTAATGTGATTTTATCCATAAGGTGCCAGAACATTAAAAAATGGATTTAATTCTGGTAATGGAATATTTCATTCTAGAGGTACTGTGCATGATGTGTCTTACAGACTGAGAATATAAATATCTAGTGTTTCTTTTCTGGTAACTTCTTGAGAGGCTCTTCAGATCAACAGATATTTTTAATGTCTGCAATCTGCATAGATTCTCATGTCACAAATTTTTATATGTTTTCCAGATTTTGGGGGGAGGGGGAAACAAGAAAACCGGAGGTTTTGTTTAAAATAATAATACTGAAAATTTGTTCTAAAATAGTGAACAGTCTCTACGTAACGCTACGCATGCGCAGAAAGTTCGTAGCTTTGAGGTCCGGATTAAAGACTTTGTACTGTATTAATGAAATATGAATATATAACTATCGGTTTAAAAATAAGATTTGTGGAAATATTAAAAGTTGAATATTTTATTTAATGTAATTTACTTCAATATGGTCTCTAAACTAGACACTTTTGGCAACTTATTTTCATTGGAAAAAGTGGTTTAAATATTATAATTTTTGTTTTTTTGGGATACTGTTTGCACTATTATAAAATTTTTCACTGTAAAAACAATTTAAATTTCTTTTGTTTTTACTAATGTTATCTCGTAACTAAAATTGTTCTGAGAAATTTAGTTGTACAAACTTTTTGAAATAGCCTGCATATTATGTAATACATTTGAAAAAAAAATATTAAAAACTCAACTATTCAAAATGGAAAGTAATTCCAACGATAGGAAATACTGTTAAAATGACTTTTCTTTTGAAATATTTTTTAAACTTGAATGAGAATTTTACAAATAAGAGAAAATCTGGTATTAGATTAAAAAATGATTTAAAAATATTAGAGATTGTTTCCTTTGTTGTTAACTGTTCTTTAAACCATATAAAAAAGCGTTAATTTGCCTAAAAATTAGAAGCTGAGTACTTACAACTTGCTGACTCTGGTATCACATTGCCTTCAGCATCTACAAAAAATAAATATTTATATTTTTTATTCTACTTAATGCATAGTTTTAAAAATTTTATTTTTCATGTTACTTATTCTTAGCATTTAAGTCATTTAATTAATTATAAAAATAATTGTCTTTATTATTATAATATTCTAATATACGTAGATTGCGTAACTAATGTAAATAGTTATAACTCAATATTATCAGTGTGATGCATTTCTAATTGATTTATTATTTAAAGTTTGATAAAAATAATATAATATTGTATATTTTATATTTTAACTACATGAACCGCAATTATTTAGAATAAGACTACATAATTATTTATACCTGTGATCGTAAAAGTGAGAGGTTCGGAATGCAAGCTGATGCCATAATGATTTCCTGCCTTCACTACTACTTCATATGTGGTACCAGGTTCCAAATCGTGCAAAGAGATGGATCGTTGTTTAGTGTGATTCTGCAAGAAAATTACGTTATTTCACGATGAACAGAGAGAAGTAAATTATATTCATAGTCAGCAATAACTTTGTTATCTAAATTTTTAATCATAATTTTCTGTACCACACAGAAATCGATAAATTTAGCAGTACTAAATCCGTAATCTGTTATTCGAAAAAATTGGCATTCGCATTCGGTTCAACACATAAATGCGAGCAAATATTTTCATGCATGAAATTTATTTAAAGTAAGAACAGGAGCGACTTAACTACTGAAAATTCAGATGCTTGTATTCGTCTTAAGATGACTGACTATAAACCAAACTACACTAAACTGATGTCACAAGTTCAGCATCAGGGAGTCATTTACATAGAAGAGAATAATATTCATTCAGTTATGTTTGTTTTTATAATAGTTAGACTTAATTTTAAATTTTATGTTTATAGCCTGTTAATTATTTTTTCAATAAAATTCACCTTATTATTCACCAAAAAAGACCGTTTTAAAATGAAAATAACACTGACCCGAAGCTTCTTAATACGCATATTTTGGTTGATTTTGACTGGCAGCCAGAAAGGTTGCCGATGCTTAAGTTAATAAATAAGTTCTCTAATATTAATATTAAAATTTTTCACATTTCATCAACTTTGGATGCTTCCATTTCATTTTTAATGAAAGCTTTCATGGCAGCCTTCCTTCTTAAACGACTACATCTAAATCTATATTTCTGAGAACCAACGATTTCCAACGGTAGTTGTGTTCTAAATGACCACCTTACAAAAGACTAAAATCATTTAGAACCATGTGGTCTCTAATGCTAATTTCACTCTTTTTTCGGTTACTTACTCATCTTTGATACGTGTCATCGTATCTATTTCAGTAATCTGAGAGAATAACTGCTGTCATAGGTATCGTAGAAAAGTTGGACCATGGGGATATTTAGCATGTCTTTTAGATATGTCAGAAAATTAAATCAAGCAAGTTTTTATGATACGCCTCTATTTTGATGTGACTGTCTTTTGCAAGTCTTTATTTTCTTTGGATATAATATTTCTCGTATAATAATTTTGAGTTGTGTAATGTAGCTTCTTTTTTGGTAGTGATATACTTGTTTTGCGGTATTAACGCTTGCGCCTGTAACTTTCTGTAGGAGTTTAAATGAATTTATTACTCCAAAAAATATTTTATGAGAAGAAAATATGTATATTTGCGTTTAATCCAGTTCATCGGAAGAATTTCTTGGTTTATTTTTTAGGTGATTAAAATGAGTACAATGTAACTTTTAATGCCGATAAATTTTAATGCCACTCTTGTTGTGGCTTATCTCACTTGTCTGTCACTAACATCAGATTACGTCTACAAATTTCATCCTGGCATGGAGTGCGGTGTTGCGTCTATCACTGGCACGGGAACTGGCATCGTCCCGCTTTTGAAAGGAGAATCCCCGGGGTAGGAATCCAAAAATCTTCCACTGCTTTTACCCAACCACCAAATCTCTCGAAAGGACATTGACTGCTTCACTGTTTTAAGTGCTGCCATGCGACAAAGACCAAACACTCAAGCCTTCTTCGGGATTCGAACCTTGGCTCAACGAGATGATAATCAGCATCGCTGACTAATGTGCCGATCAGCATGGCTTAATGTTTTGCTAAGGCGAAATTTTTTATTTTCAGATAAAACTTTATTGTTTATAATTAGATGATTTGTAAAGAGGTTAAGAAAGCTTCCTTTTATAACACCGTGTCCAATAATAAATGCATTTTTTCTTGTTATTATAACCGTATGAAGTACATACAACTCAATCTCGATTATTTGTCGTTCTCAAGACTATCATCGTGGCTGATAATATAAACTCGCTTTACCCCCGCCGCTAACAGAGATGGACAATCGGTAACGAAGATATATTTTTAGGACAATAAATTTTTTAATACGGATAAAAATCAATATATGAATAGAAAATTTTCAAATGATACTTTCTCAGCTTTCTTATTATTATGTACAATAAAAATGTATTATTTAAAGTAAATCCAACATAATCTCTGGCCACAATATTATAAGACATGGAAGATTTTTGACAGGTTTCACTCATATCCTCTTCACCTCAATTTTATTTCTTACTGTCGTATACAGGGACCTCGATAATTGCTCGGTATTTTGGCATCAGAACTTTACATATTCGAGAAAACTAGTTCAAATTTAGGTAAGATGAAATATATGATAATTTTATTCAATGGTGGAATGTATGGAATTTCTATAATTCCATTCTTTTGGCATTTTGTCTTGGAAGGACAGATCGAAAACATTTTGCAGTGGATCACTGATAAGCCAAATTCATAGCATGCTGTATAAGATCAATGAATGTAAATCAAATTACTATAATGAATGGCGTATTATAATACTTTGCTCTTTATCTCCGCATTTAACACCAGCCTCCAAAAACCACAGTGCGCCATGCAAAATAAAAGCTATCTTGAAAGCCCGAATATGTTTTATTATAAAATTTGTTGAAATCCTTACCCTGAACATTAATTTCGATCCGACAGGTCTCCAGAAAACCTTATACCATTGTACGACTTTTGGATTCTTCTGTGGTGTATCCCATGTAATTTCTAGGATATTGTGTCCAATCTTATGGTACTGTATGTTCTGCGGAGGTCCAGGCAGTATTGCTTAAATAAATAAATAAAAGATTATAGAGCTCTGGGTTATTTTCGAACATAACAACAGGTTGCTCAATTTAAAATATTCTTACCTTTTCCTTCTTCAAAACAGCTGACGATTTTAGACGCATGTAATATACATAAATGAGTATTGATGATAGGCCGACCCTGGCACCATCTTAGACAGCTTCTTTGAATTCCATTATCTCTGCAGCATTTTCGATGATCACTGCCATCTGTATAAAAAATAAAAGAAATGAATTTAACTCTACCTGGTGTATATCGTGCATTTATGCATGATATTTAATGGATGTTGCAGTTGGGCAGTTGAATGAAATGCAAAAGTGAAATTTTAGAATTTTCTTCATTCTTGGCCGCGAAAACGATTAGAAACTGAGTTCTGAAATTGGTGCTTTTTAGTTTTAATAAGAATTAATCTAGGACTTGGCAATGTAGCAACTAGCAAAATGTTATTTTAGAGCAATTAAATATTGTTCCTTGCATGATCATATGAAAAAAGACAGAAATAATTTTTATTAATATTTCGGACTATATGTAAGATAATTATGTAGGACCAAATGCTATATCCAGAGCCTACTTTTAGACGAAATTGTTAAAATAACTTGTCTGTTTAAAGGCGATTTAGAAGGTTTTAGTTAGAAGGTTAATTTAGAAAGTCTAATAATTGTTGTAGCAGTGACAGGTAGGATTAGAAAATTCAAAGGAACTGGATCGCTAAGAATTAGAGCCGGTAGAGGCCGGCAGACGATGTACTAACAGAAGTTGCCAGTGCAGTGGTCCATACGCTCGTGCAGTAGCTCCCCAAATCAACATGCCTTATGCTACTGTTGCGAAAAATAGTATGGAAAATGCAGCATTTCGAATCCTATGAGATCATTCGTGTGCAAGAACTAAGAATGACAGGTAACGTTAAAGTTTCTTGCTCGAATGGAAATCAACAATTATTAGCCTTGTAAAATATTATGGGGAGATGAGGATAATTTTTATTTGAATAATTCCATCAGTTCTTACAACTACTGAATTCAAGCATCTGAACTGCCAGCGTAATGCATCAAGTGCCACTACATTCGGCAAAAGAAACATTATGGATGTGGATTAACTATTATTACATCGACTGAAAATATTATTTGCATCGACTGAAAAGAAAATGTTCGAATTTGGTAAAAAAAAACTTGTTTATTTTAGATTCACGGTGTTTGAAAAACGTGGTTACATATTTGCTTCCTTAAATATTGATACTAAACATATGGTCGCAGTTACAAAGTTTCTCAAAATAAGATAGTTTTAGGAGAATAATTTTGATGCCGTGACGGGCTCAATAGAACAAAAATTTCAGTTCGTAAAATGCTCATTGTGCTTTAAGAAATAAAATGCAAAATGTTTTACACATTTGCTTACAAAAATGACAAAGATTTTACCGAAAAAAAAAAAGTTTGGCTTAGATTACTTATCAATATATCGTATTTTCGACTAAAATTAAATATTCTGTAAAATTTCCCTAAATTTTAAGAGTAACTACAAAAAAGGGAATAGATTAGTTTGCAGATTGTATGTTCCATATTTAGGTCAAAAACGATATTTTTTATGGAATGCTTTGTATTCATTTAAAAATATAATGAGTACTTTATTGATTGGATTTTCTGTATGAGAAGTATTTATAGAGTGGCATTTGCATTTTACGTTTACTGTAGAGTTGAAAGTCTTGATAAAACTCTATATTGAGAAACTTTGCAACTAGGAGTTTACGTGTTTAGTGTTAATGCTGTATAAAGAAATAAAACATGTATGCTTCTTTTCTGAACAGTTTGTATGTGTGCTATATGGAATTTTTTTTTTTTTTTTTAATGAGTTCAGCGTATGTTGGTACTTTAAAAACTGTTGAAGAAAGATACTGACCTGCAGCGCAATACATGAGTTTATCAAGATCTTTGAAGCAATTAGGTTTATTGAGAGCTGTCTGAATATCGATGTCGATGTTACAGGCTTCTTGACATTCATCACTGACACCTTTTTCTTGACAGCAGGCTGTAATGTAATTAAATCCTATATGTTAATCTATATATTATATTAAGTTCAATGGCTATTTTACAACTCAAGTTTTACAACTCAGTTTTTTAAAAGTTCTGAAAAAGTAAGCATAATGACATGAAATGGTCCTATAGACAACATAAATGAGTGTAAAAAAATTTTTTTCGTCCCCCTTTATGGAAAGGGGACCGGTTTCGCCTTGAAACCAGCGCCCGTCTAGAGCATTTAACACTAAGCATTTGCTTATTTACCTTTACTTTGCTGGAAAGTATTTGAACGTAACCCACATTGCAGATTATACTAGTAAATTACTGAATAACAACGAATGAAGTAAGTAATATTTGCATAAACACGCATTTTTAAATAAATAAAAAATTTAAAACAGGAAACAAAAATATGAGACAAAAAGTAACTAATAATGCACTAAATTACTTACATAAAACTATGAAATATTTTTAAAAATTATGTTAAAAACTAAGACAATTATATCTGGAAATAAAATAAAATTAGATGTATACAAATATTTTACTAGAAGAATGAGGAAAGCTACAGCTAAGAGAAGCAGAATAAAAACGCTACTGTGAGTGTTCTTCAGTGTGCTCTGTGTCTCTGTAAAAAATAAGAAATGTTTTCCCTCTCTCAAAAGCTCCATAAATCCTCATCTTTGAAGACACTCAAACGATGATATGATGCAACTGCTTACAGTAGTGATCCGAAAGCAATAAACACAGCTGTAAAAAATCTTGCGTCTGCGTCATCTGATCCTTTTTTCGATGTCTCAGAGGGGCGGTGGTTTCATAATGAAACCGCGCTGAAAACATTCAAAATTAAAAGGGTTCCATTACTTTTTTTTGTGAACTAAGGACATTTCATTAATCATTGATGCCTGCTTATAAAATATATTGTGGAAAAATTAAAAATTGTTGGGTTTTTTGTTCTTAAAATAGCCCAAAATGAATAATGACAAAAACAAGCTATTTTTGAACGATTCGTATCAATTAATGGATGCGCAAAAAGGTTTAGTGCTGCCATCTGTTATCAGCTTTAAAACGTAATTTAATTTTAGCAGCGGTTTTGAGAAAATGAAACCAAATTTTCTAAATTAAAAAAAAAATGTTGAAAATGCGGTTTCAAGGCGAAACCACCGCCCCTGAAAGGGTTAAAATACCTATATATTTATTTAGATTATATGTGCTTTATTAATTAAACAACAAAGTAGAAAAAGTTGGTAAATACCAGAACTTGAATAAAAGTAGCTTTCTTTATATTCGTAAATTAAAACTAAATTGACACATTGGCAACAGGGCAACTAAATTAATATAACACTACACTGAAAACTAAACTGACATAATAGGTTGACCATATTCTCCTTGAATCTATGAAATTTCCCCCTGGTTAAAAACCGCTTATGGGCTAACATAAGGGCATGCGATCATTTCTTACACTTTCTCTGCTTTATAAGGGGACTAAATCCAAGTGATGAATTATCGGGTGCCACATTTTAGTTCGGGGCCACTTTACAGAGTGTTAACCTTTTCGGTACAGGAAGCTTGAAAACTCATTTGGCACTCTCACCGAGACTCGAATCATGGATCTTCGACTATCTAAGTGGGCGTACTAAGCACATGCGAGGGAGATGGGTACAATCCTTGCAGTTTAGCGTGGTTCAATTTAACATCTTTAAGCACAAGCTGATCGAAATGTTAGGTCTAATCTTTTCTTTTAATTCGTATTTCAGTCCTCGACCATTATATTTCCTTCCTATGTATATTTTCCAATGCATAATTATTTCTTTTTATACACCATTGGTTATTAAAATTAGGATTGCTACACCACAGAGGAAAGCAGTTCGAGAATCATATTTATTTTACAATGATTCAATGATGAAATGATTAAATTTTCAAATAAATTTGAGATAAATAACAGGCAGAAATCAGGTATCCCAAGCAGCTACCTGTGGTGACAATAGCAGTTATACGACTGAGCAGGGCCTCGGAAAGTCTTTGAAAGGGATTTTGGGTGAATGCAGTCCATAGTGCTTCAATTCTACTCATTTTTTGTCATACTAGCTAGTGGGCATTGTCGGGCCAGTCATTTTGCAATCGTTGACCAGACGATTTCAATTTGTGAAAAATCCGGAGAACGCCCGGCCTATCAGATAAGCGGACTAGAGGTAAGCACAACCTGCACGCAATGACACTCATACCAGAATTCAGATATTAGGCTGGTATGATGATGAAGATTACAAACGTCTGATACCTGTTCCTTACAATGCCTCGCTGTGCGGATACGACCATCATGATGTTCTAAGCAAAACTTGGATTTGCCCGAAAAGGCAACGTCACACCATTTATGCGTCCATGTGCTTCGCAGAAAGCGCAATTTTAAGCGCTGATTCCTGTCCTGTAGCGTCAAGGGAAGATGAAGCACAAGTCAGCTTGCTGAGAATCCGAGTCAATACAAGCGTCCTCGTACCATATATGGGATTATTTGTGCTGTACAGCACATCGGAATAGCTAAGTCAGGGTATATAATGTAGCAGCACAATACGTAACAGCAATGCGAAAAAGATGTCTGTCCTCTCGGACGTTGTTGAACGGGGGCCATTGAGATCCAGCATATGGCTTTTTATCGCCCACTAGACTCATAAGGGCACTGCAGGCCATGGCTCACCGAGAGCTTTAGTTTAGTTTTTTTAGACTCATTGATTGCAAACTCTCATTTAATTAGATCTCGGTCAACGCGAGCAGCGACTGCGCAGTATTATAACTTGAGGTCTCAATGGGCTGTTATTTGCAGCGGCTGAGTATCCTTTTTTTTACACGATATACAACACAGCCTCGAACTAAAAACAATTAGTAAATGTGACTCCCAAATGAAAACTCGGGGTTTCAGTTTACTTTTATGCACAATGCCAATAATTAAAAATTACGAAGTGCCTATGGTTCAAAATTACTTTTATGCACTGTTTCGGGGTGTGCTTTTATACTTTTTCTTTTAACGTGCGCATGCCAGCATATTCTAATTTTCATGGAAATTTAAGGTTTATTGTGCAGGTTGTGAGGTTTGTTTGGAGTAACATTTTTAATGGCCACTAGTATATAGGGATATCAAAACCTAAAGGTAGTTCGTAAATGATTGTGCCACCAAGTATACTTTTCCATATTAAACGAGGTTAAATCAGGAGTTATATCTTTCTAGGAAATTTTATCTACAGGATCTCTCAGAAGAAATGCAACAAATTTACGGGGTGTATTCGGGAGGTAAGAGGAATCGAAATGCCATTTTAATGCTACCAGTGTAATGATTCCTTCAGAACATATACATTTTAAAATTCCGAGACGATTTCAGCTGGCCGAAGGAAGGAACACTCATTGGCTTATTCTTTGACTACAAATCGCCAATTCTACAGCTTGAACTTCAATCATTTCGTCATATGCAGCTATAAGAAGTCAGTGACAAACCTGTCAACAGTACAGCAACTCATTACGTGCATTGAGTTAGCCTTGGACAATATTCGGATGATTGAGAGATCTTTGACGATATCTGTCACGCGTGAAAATGTTCTTAGGAAGTGTCTCAGACAGTTCATCATTCTATGATGCAACACCGTTCATATTGACATCAAAGATTTGAGCTCTTGTCATAAGATATATCATGTAGGATAGTACAGGTTCCCAATTACAACATGGTGTCCCTCATTCGCCTAGACGTGAAATTAAGACTTCGTTCAGGAGATACGTAACTTCCTAAATCGCCTATGTTTTGAATTCAGCGGGGCGCTGAAAGCATATCCTTTCCCCTGATCTTTCAAATATCATTTGATCGGATAATTCTCATTTTTAATTTATAAAAACTTGGTTTAATATGAGTATTTAGAAAATTTTGCATGGCAGAACTGAATTGAAATTTATCACTTACCAGAGGCATTACTGTAAAGTTTTGGTAAAACATCCAAGTTTACAAATACTCGGTCATATCCATATTGGTTTTCAGCGTAACAGAAATATTGTCCTTCGTGAACAGTTGTCACTTGAGGTATCGTGAGTGTTGCAAGATATGTATATAATTTCTAAAAAATATAAAAAGAATGATTTTATGTTCAACAGTAATTGAGAATAAAATTTGGCAAGTAGCTTCCAGTAAAAAATTATTTTATTTGCTTAATTAATACTGAATTGAATTCAGAAGAAATTACATATTGCTTGTATACACTAATATACAATACAATATATATATAATCCATAATTAGCACAAATGGAAGAAAAGCACGTTAATGGGAAATTTCAGAGTAAGCAAAATGTCAGTCTCCGTAATCAACTCTCCGCAGACCTGAACAATTTTTACCGACTAATAGTTTTACACTTATGAGCAATTTCTATTATTTTTTAAAGCATTTCCTTGAATAGCCCCACTAAATGTTTTTTTTTTTTTTAATGTATCTGCCGATTTTTCTCGTTTTCATAATGTGGCTCCTGCTTGGATTACTGCTGCAACAAATGCAGAAGAAGGCTAACTACATTCTAGAACTTGGCACTGAGAATCATAATAAACTTTTCCCTGCATTTTAAGATATATAATAGCTTCTTGTATTTTAATATATATAATAGATATAAAATTAAGTACATTCTAGAGCAGGGCACTTTGAATCGTAACAAATGCAAAGTTTTAAGGTAAATTAATGTTTCATGATTTCAATTAAAATATTTAGCATGATGTCTGCATGTAGTTTCAGCAATACTCTCCTACGTGCAGGACTCTTTTAAAGATTTTACTTCTTTCGTAAGAAAATTGTTGACTATCATCAAACTATCGACTATCTTCTATAAACAACCCAGGTAAGAGGGTTGATCACGAATTTAATGTGATTAGCTTTTATGGCATGCAATATTATTATTCTACTATCCTTTATCGTCCACAGGATAAGATTCAAATAAACATAATACATAGAGATTATTATTTGTTAGTTTGTATGAATCTTGAGAAATATAACTAATTCGTGATCCACGTTTTATACAATGCAGCAAAGAATAAGATACATTTTATAATCTACAATGAAGAAAGAATTTTCTTGGTAAAGGATGTTCTTGTAAAAATGTTTAAAGATATGAGTTTGAAAAACTCACAAAACATATAATAACAAAAATTGAGAAAGATATGTATTTGTAAGTTTTACAAACACATATCTTTGAACATTATTATAAGAATATCTTAGTATTTTACAACGAAAATTACTTTTCATGACATTATAAAACATTTTGACATTGTTGAAGGAAAGCATCAAAACACTTCCGCTTGAAATATCTGGAATGAAACATCTGTAACTTCGGATCGATTAAACACTATTTGCCTATAAAATATATGTATAGTATATTTATAGTAGACTTTAACCATTAAATGAGGCTTATATCTATCATTCAAAGATAGCTTGAAGACCATTAAACATTTATAAAATAATGCAAACTTCTCACTTGATTATAAGGTTTCATGGCCAAATCATATTCAGGACCTTTAGTTAAAGGATCTCTCGATTTGCTGTCTTTGTACCAGAGAACTCGCGGCTCAGGATGCCCTGAAACTAGACATCTAACTGTTGCTGAGCTTCCTTCTTCTGCAGGAATTCGCTTATCTAATGCTTCAGCATGAGGCTTGACTGAAAAGATATTTCATAAGAACAAAAGGAACTTCTTTTAATTGATTCAGTAGTATTGGCATATCACAATAACATTATGCATATGCAAATGAATGTAAAACGCTCTCCAATTTAATGAATCAAGTAATATTCTCAATGAAATTATTTATAATCTCCACTTTTTCTTATATGTAAATGGTTTTGGTTATAAAAAACTATAACGCTTTCTTTTATATAAAGCATACACTATTTGGGTTTATGAATCGTAAATTTCTTAAAGAATTCTTTTAAAAGTGGAAAGAGTAGAATTTTCTGCTTGTGTATGTAGCTTTTTTTCCTCGTATTATTAAAAAAAAATATTTAATGTAATTTTAAAAACCGTTTTAAGAAAGCAAATATGAATTTTAGGGCAATGTCTAGAGGTAAAAACTCTTGGAGGGTTAACTTACAAAATACAAACAAATATCAGCGAAACTCAAACTACACTATAGCATAACTTTTAAATTTCTGGCTAAACATTTCTTTATGCTAAAAATATGCATGCACATGTAATGGCTCTCACTTCTGGGGGAAAAAAAAAAAGAGAATCAGAAGCAGATGGGGCTGCTCTGCCGGCGCGGTCAACGTGCACAAATGTGCTAGCATCATAATGCAAGTTAACCATTGTTCACAAAGGTGCAAGGGCACCCCGCATTAAGACATGAAGGTGACAGTACTCCTATGTAGTTCAGTTTATCCATACAGAATGAAACAATCATCAAAATTCCCGGATTTTCTGTGAAGATCCAAGCGAATAGTTTCCGATGGTGCCGGCACCTTTTGCAAGTTGGTCATCAACCATCAAGACACAAGGATGGGCCGACATCCTTGTGATGTTCAGTTTACACATGAAGTATATACATGAAATTGCACTTGAAGAACATGCTTTCATCAAGATGCCTGGATTCTCACGTGAAGGTCTTTCGTTCAGTGAAAAGTCACCGACATGCGTAAAGATGGTGTCATCGTTCCGAAATCGTGCGGCACATGAAAATTCACCGCTTTTGGACTATGGAGTAAAGAATTAAATCCAGTTAAATGAATTCGCGATGATCTAATAACGACAGGCTTAGACGATGAATTTAATACATTTAGCATTATACTATATTTCGATTTTTTTTTTTTTCCTGAGGGGGGATGCAGCGTCATTAAACTTCTTTCTTACAGTGAATGCTTTTTTTTGGGGGGGGAGTCCTGAACTCTGCAATTGTGATAAATGGTTTATCCAGTTTTTAACCATTTATATTAGGTTACGAGGCGGTTCTAGAGCTACCGGCACATCGAAAAATTTCCCGAATTTCTGATAGTCCCATCTGCTCCTGTACAGATTACATGTGGGAAATCGAAATTTGGAAAATCGAAATTTATGAATAGAAACGGCATAAAAATGCCATAAATTTTAGGTAACTAGCGGAATATTCTTTTAAACGTGTAGATTGTAAATCGGAGTCGTGTGGAAATGGAAGTGCACTGTATCATTAATAATAAATAATAAATGAAATTTTAAAGCTTAGATTTTATTTCTTAAATAAATTAAGGCGTATGATTAAAATACGTTTTTAAAAAATAATTATACATTTTTTAATCTTGAAATGATATTTAGCATTTGTTACATTGACAAACAAATGAGATTATTGCAAAAGCTGTTGCCTCTATAGTTTGTACTCGTTGCTGTTGCAATGGCTGTGAAAAATCCCGTTCAGTAGTAATTAAGCACTAGTATTTGCAGTATGATGATATATGTTTCAGAGTTAATGTTATTTTAGACGGCTCGTTGTGGAAGTGAAAAGAACAGTATTTGATTTTAATTGCTATTAAATAATGAATATTCATTTAAACAATTTTCTGTTTAAATGAAAAAAAGTTTGAAAGAGTTCAGATTTTAACTATCGCCTGGAAGGGCTCGTTTAAAGTTTGATATGGTTTATCAGTAGAGATTATTGATGGAGATGACCTAGGTGAAACAGCAAAACATTTTATAGGATATTAGATTAATATGCTTTCAGACTAACATGGGAACGTTATATATCTTCTGCATATTTAAAAAGTAAAAAAGTATGTATAAAAATATTTACTGTTTTTATTTGAATATATCATGAATCAAATGCATTTTTATTTAAATAAATCTGCTTAAAAAGTAAAAAAATAATTACATTTAAGCTATGCATCTATTATAGATGTTTATAATAATTTATAAAGTATGTAATATAATTCTTTAAAATATTTAATGTTTTTATTTGAATATATCATGAATCAAATGCATTTTTATTTAAATAAATCTGCTTAAAAGTAAAAAAAAAAAAAAAAAAAATTAAGCTATGCATCTATTATAGATGTTTATAAAGTATGTAATATAATTCTTTAAAAATGTTTAATGTTTTATTTGAATATATCATGAATCAAATGCATTTTTATTTAAATAAATCTGCTTTAAAAAAAAAAAAAACATTTAAGCTATGCATCTATTATAGATGTTTTATAATAATTTATAAGTATGTAATATAATTCTTTAAAAATATTTAAGTTTTTATTTGAATATATCATGAATCAAATGCATTTTATTTAAATTAATCTGCTTAATAAAAAAAATTACATTTAAGCTATGCATCTATTATAGATGTTTATAATTATATTAATGCATCTATTATAGATGCATTAATAACAGAATGATTAAATATGAAGAATTAACATCTTATGTTTTTCCGAACGGCAACAGATTCGAATGAAAAATGAAACAGCACAAAACCGTGTTTCGAGATTAATAGCCCTTTTGAGTTTTTTTTTTTTTTTAAATCCCTATTAGAATATATATATTATTTAACTTCACCTCTTCTGGTAAATATATTTTAAGTTTGAACAGGGTGAATATCTTTATATGCGGTTTTCCCAATAAATATGCTGAAAAATTTTGGACTTCTTAAGGTAATAAGAAACAGATTAATTGCATAAACTGAGAATATCAAAAACACTTAAGAAATTAGGTACGTTATAAGGTATTTCTCCCGCCTTCTTAGTGTGCCTTCTTGGTGTAGTGGTCAGCACACTGAGCCGGTATTTCAGAGGCCCGTGGCTCAATTCCCGGCGAAGGCGGTTGCTAATTTTTCATCTCCTGCTTCCAATTCATCTAATGTCTCTACAATATTATAAATATATAAATTGCATATAGATACCAGTGTATTTTAGCATTTACTAACGTAAAGTAAACACAAATCTATTACAAAAGTTTTGGAGATTTTCCAAATTGTTCGCACGCAAACAATTACTAATTGCACAAACGTAAATCGCAAATCAAAAATGTATAAAAAGAACTTAAACAATATCTAACACATTCGTGATAATTAATGTGCAAGGTTAAAATTTGAGGAATTCAAAACATATGGCATATCGTCAATTATGATTGCGATTCATCTGAACTTCGTTATTCACAAAAGGAAACAAATAAAGTATAATTTATAAAGCTTTATAATTTTAATAAAGTTGTACTCACAATGCACTTCCAGTGACGTCGAGCTTTGAGCACCTTGGCCAAGTCCATTATCTGCAAAACATTCTACTTTTGTTATATTATGTTGAATATTGGGAACAACAAGAGCTACATGACTCTGCTGCTGTTGAACCATAAGCTCTCCGTTTAGGAATAATGATACTGTAGGAACGGGCATACCCGTTGCTACGCACAAAAGAGTCACATTAGCGCCTTCGACTATTGTCTCTGGAGGTACAACTACCGGAGGATTGAGAAAGGCTGGAATAGCAGGATCTGTCCAAGCCAAGATAATTTCAGACAAAGGACTTTCTTCATGTCTAGATCTGGCTCTGACTGCGATGGCATATTGGGTATTTACAGTGAGATTATCTAGTGTGATGTAGTTATTAACAGTAGCCTGGCGGAAAGGAGAATCTTCTATTTCTCGGCTAGCATTGGCTGGTTGGTAGAGAACGATATAGCTGAGAGAAGAACTGGCTGGCACATGAAAAGGTGCTTGCCATTTCAAAGATACGTAGTCCATTGTTTGATGAATCACTTCTAGAGAATGTGGCGGACTTAGAGTTCCTGAAAGAAAAGTTATGAAAAATTCTGTTAATTTTGCAAGTAACCTGAAGTATGTAATTTTTGCTAAATCTTTGTATTTAATTTTTTTTAAATTACATTAGTATGCCAAATTTGACTTTGGTTTACTTTTGCTAGATTCATTGTGTTGACAAATATTCAAGTTTTCGTAAATGACTGAGCACTTGCTGGCTATGGCTTGTGAGTAACTATGGTCAAATCCACCTATCATTTTACTATCTTATCACAGAGAATGTTACCCAAGAGACACCGTAGAGGACGAGTTATTTTACATTAGCAGTGAGGAGAAACAGCAAAACCTTACATGGAAGTCCAACCCATACTTTGGTTTCAGGCTAGAAATACCCTTCTCTAATAACTAATAATTTTCAATTAGATATAAGAACACATTTATCAGCTTTGGTAATGCATTGTTCACATTCAGTGACTAGGAGGTACCGAATTTAAGTTGCAGAGGAAGTCCAGGTTTGTTAATAATGACTGACTAAAGCAGAATAATTGGACATTATAGATCATCACAGTCGTTCAACTTGAGAAATTTCGACCCAGATAGAATGAGAAGTATGAAGTCACACACATTTGAAAAACACTTCAGATAAAAAGGATTTGGTAACATAGCTGTAATGTTCCGATGAAAAGTATGGTCTAGATTGTATCAGATTTTATGTATTAATCTTTTTATGTATATTTTACGTATAATCTTTTAATTTATGTATTTTATTTCCATGTCGCATATAAGCATGGAAATAAAAAGAAAATGCAGTGACTACGAGCAACACTCGCTACACGACCTCCCGGTTGATAAATTTTCCAGCCCCGCTCGTTTTTATCCGGCCAGTCAGACTTCACATGTAACACTATGTGTTTTTCATTGTTTAAAATTGCTAATAAAAGTACCATTTTATGATGAAACTAAAAAAATTTCGTCACACTGTTAAAATGCATTTTTAACTTACCACAATTAAATTTTAGGGGCATTAGCAGTTTGCAATGAACATAAAATAAGCTCTTAGTAAATAGCTTTAAAATTAATTAATTAAATATGATAAAAATTAAACAAAATAAAATTTGATTAAGAACAGCATTCAAAATTTTAACAAACTTAAAGCCTTCCTGTGATAGAACAAGAACATTTTTATCACTTATTTTTATTATTAGTAACAGTGTGTGGGAATTTTTAGTTATTTAAAGCTCCGCATTCTTGAAAAAATTTCTCCTTTTATTGGCATAATTACAAAACATCATTCGATGGGAAAACTTAGCATCCAAAAGCATAAAGTTAGCATAAAGTTCTTTTAAACGGTTAATAAATGAAGCTCGTATTTCCTTTAGTATGAAGAGCCAAAACGCACTGCTTATAGTTTAGTTTATAATCAAAATATTTAACGACAAAATCAGCAACGTATGCTGCTTTGGCTTACGTGACATCGCTTAAGTCTTATGACATAAAAATTATTTGATTTTACTTGGCCATAAAAATATTAATTTTAATTAATGTATTAATTACGTAAATAAAAATCACTCAAATTTTCATTTTAAAATAATATTTCAAATAATCCTATTTCAGCTACACTGTAAGATACTTTTTTAACGCATATCATCCATTAAAAGTTAAAAAGTAATGTTACATTCGTTACTTCCAGCATTATGCTATCTCCAGGGTAAATTACAGACATATAATTCCAATGCAAAAAATGCTATATTTAGGAAATTTTAGTATAAAGGGAAGTAACAATGCTAATGGAAAGAAAAATGTAAATTACTTTATGTTATAAGAATGAAGGACTCGTAGAAGCTTAAATCCTTATTTTTTTTTTATGCATAAATTCTTTCTGAACATCCAGCAGCCGAAAAAA